TTTTTTTTTGCGGAACCAGGGATTGAACGCAGGCCCTTGTGCTTGCCAGGGAAGCACCTATTCCACTGAGCCATCTCCCCAGCCCCGCATCTCTTCTTTATAATCCAGATCATTGGAGTTTATGGATTAGAATCTGGTTCTAGGCAGTTCTTACTACTCTGAATCTACATCCCTTTTTATGTCACTATCATAAAATCATGTGGTTTTCTCTATGATCTATTGTTTTTCCAATTAAAAAGAACTCCTGCTTATAGAGAAAATTTAGAGGCAAAACAAAGTACTATGTAACGTAGCTGAGTGCAATGGCACACCCCTGTAGTATCAGCGCTTGGGAGGCTGAGGCAAGAGGATCGTCGTGAGTTAAAGGTGGGTCTAGCCTACGTAGTGAGTTCATGGCCAGCCTGAACCAACAGTGTCTGTGAAGTGACCTCATCTCTCATTAAAATGGCTACCAGAGAAAGCTAAACCTGCGAGGGAATGCTACTGCTAGTTCTGGCTAACTCTAATTACAGCCCCTCCTCTTCTTAAGGCAGTTTTTAGAAAGGATATATATGACGAAAGGTTCTCTAAACTGTACCAGCAAATGTACCTTTTGGAGACCAAGTGCCAAACTGCAACTGGAAGCTCACTTATTTATCCAAAGTGACAACATTGCAATTAAACCTGAAAGCGTTAGTCAGGAAAAACAACACGTATATCAACATCTTCTGTCTTAAAAGGAAAACACAACACATTCCACAGGCTCACCACCACTGCCCTCCGCAGTACTGAGGCTGAAGAATACCCAGAGAAGGACAAACTTAAAACAAGCTCAGAGTCCCTCGATGATGGAGAGCGCTGGCTACCAGATCACCAGGGACAAAGGCTAAAGCTGTGGAAGCTGCTCTGCCAACGACAGCATGCCTGGTGCAGCTGGAGGCTCAGCACAGGCTGAGGCAGGGAGAGTCCAGGAAGCAGCAGAGGCTGGGGCCGAGGGGCAGGTGAAGATGGGAGGGCAGGCAGGCCTAAGGACCCACCCTCAGCGCCGCCGCCGCCGCAGGCGCAGGGGCCGGTATCCAGAGGGCTGAGAAGGGGCTATTGGCAGGCTGCAGCTGCAGGGTGCAGCTGACTGCATTTGAGGCCTGTGGTTGGAAGACACTGCGCTGGGCGTTCTCGGGATCACTCTCAGCTCCGGTGCCTTCTAGAAACTGCAGGGTGCCACTCATGACCCTCTGCCATCTCCCAGAACTCTACTGAGAATGTTTAACTTCAAATTCACTTCAAAGGACAGATTTAATGGAATTCTGCTACTTAGCACAGAACCTAAGAGGAAGGGTGTATTCCGAGGAGAGGCAATAAATTGATAATTGAGACAAGGGCTCATATTCAAAGTCTTTAGGATTTGTGGGCCTTTGGACTCTGGTGGTTGAATAATCTGACTGTGTATGGCCTATAAACCAACCTAAAAATTTCAGATTTTTTTTTAATTTCGGATTTTGTAACAGGAAGTTCTTTATCATTTACATGTGTCCATCGTAAGTAAAGACAATTCACAAAATTATAAAGTGTAGTCTTCAATGTCCACAGAGACACTAACAATTTCCAGTCTGCCAGCAAATAAACAGTAGAATAAGTGCTTGCCTGGCAAGTGCAAGGGCCTGAGTTCAATCCCCAGTTCCGAAAAAAAAAAAAAAAAGAAAAATTTAAAAAAAAGATTAACATAAAAAATGCTACACAGACTCTTAAAACTTTTTTGCTTACTCTATCAAGGAATCAGTAAATGTTTTGGAGTCAGTATAGACAGATCTCAGAATTTAACAAATTGAGTTAAAACGGGTGTGGTGGGGCACGTCTGTAATCCCAGCATCTGGGATGGTGAGACAGGAGGACTGCAGTGAGTTCGAGATCAGCCCGGGAGCTACAAAAGTGAGCACAAGGCCAGCCAGAACTGCACAGCGAGATCCCGTCTCAAAAAAAGAAAAGTTGAATGAGATCATGATGAGATTTGAGGTGCAATTAAAATTGGGTACTTGGATCCCTCGCCCATTTCCTGGGCCCCAAGGCGTCGAATTTCACACACAAGTTTCTCACCTGGTTCCTCCACAACTGGCAGGCAGCCCGGTAGGAGGCGTCTCTGAGCTCACCCCAGGCGCCCCTGGGCCTCGCGGCCAAGGCTCCGAGGCGCCCCTAACTCCTCCCCAGAGACGCGCGGCCCCGACCCCTCCTTAGCGCCCCGCCCCGGGCCCGCACCTGTCGTCTGCACCCCTACTTCCTCCCGCCTCCGTCGCCGCCCCGCCCCTGGCTCGGCCCACCAGGACGTGCCGCGGGACCTCGTCCCGGAGAGGCGTAGCCCACTAGCCGTGCTCCGCCCACCGGAGCCACGCAGCCACGCATCACGGCCCCGCCTACCAGAACGAGCGCCGCTGGTCCCGCCCCCTTCGGGTCTTCCCACCGGGATACCCCGGAACTACGCTGTTTTCCGCATCCCAGCGCCCCGCCTCCCGAGGTCTCTCATTGGCTTGCCTCACACCGGATCCGCCCCCTTTCCCATGCTCCACCCTCCTGCCTCCCGAACCGCCGGAACTCGGCCCGCCCACCCCCGCCCATCCAGCCCGGGTCACGGGGCCGGTCCACACTGCCCGGAAGCTGCTCTAGACGCCTCGGGGTCTGTGCGGTGCCGCGAGCGATCCTGTGCGCTTCTGCACGGGTGAGGTCGGGGCGCCTGGCTCTGCCATGCAGGAGGACCCTTACCCCGCCGCCGCGCCCTACCAGCCCGCCTGCCCCACGAGGGCCGCGTGTGTCTACAGCAGCTGCTACTGGTGAGGGGCGCAGCGCGGCGTCCTCCCCGCGCGCGGTGCCGCAGGCCTGCACGGCAGGCGGCCTTGGGGAGCGGAGCGGAGTGGTGGGGTCGGTGTTTGCCTCCGCCCGGTGCTGCAGGTTGGACTTGCTCTGCGCGTTGCTTGGACGTGGAGGGCAGAAGATTCTGCAGACAGTCTGTGACTTTAGGTTGAGATGGGAGTCATTTTAATTTGGGAACAGAAGGGAGGCAGAGAGAATTTAAGGATATATTTTCAAGGTCATCCACCTAATAGCAGCCAGGAATCCAGCTCAGGCATGTAGCCACTGCTGTCGTTGTAACGAGGGTTACTTTTGTGCCGCACTTGTCCTGCTGGACGTTGTTCAGGATGGCGTGTGCGCCCCCAACAGCCTTTAAAGGTAGGTAGGCACCTTGTGATTCCCGTTTTAAAGATAACGAACACCGAAGCACAGAGGGTTTCAGGTAATTTGCTCAAGGCCTCAAGCTTGGGTGAATGCATGGGGATTTATGCCCCCCTCTGCCCTAGAATGTCGCTGCAGCCGGGAGAAACCTCGCGACTTTGGAAATCCATCCTTCTCCCCTTTGCTTGCTCATTAGACCAGTACCAGCAACAGTTTAACGTTTGCTCACCATTGACCACCTACCGGGCCCAATGCTGAGTGCTTCCACCCATGCCTAGGAGACAGGGTCTGTGAATGTTGTCCCTGTTTTGCTAGTGAAAAGCCACAGAAGGGCTGTTTGCCCAAGACGTGGCCTCTACTGTATTGTGGTTCTGAAGTGTACATTTTTCAACTGCAGCGTTTTATTTCTGCTGTACCTGCCTCCTAAATGGCCCACATGTCACACCAGGCTGTTTGTTATCTTTAAAAGCTCTAAAAGGACTAGAGCGCCTTCTTAGGCAGACTCAGGGACTGGGGTTCAGTCCCTGGGTGCTGTGTGGGCTCCACCCCGAGGCGCGCTGAGTGAGACTGCGGTGGCAAGTGCACCTGTAATCCCAGCGCTTGGGAGACTGGAAACAGCTTCTTGGATCACTGTAAGTATGATCTGTGTAGTGAGACCCTGTACTAAAGGAAGCAGAGAGAGTGAAAGGAGGAGCCAGGAAGGGAGAAACCACTTTTCTAGGTCACCCCCATAGTGACCACCTCCAACAGCAAGCTGGCTATGGCTGTAAGCCCCTAGAATCCAGCCACCTTCCAAAAGTACCACCTACGAGCCTGTGAGGCTCTAGGGGCCTGTCTAGCTCTAAACCCAAGACCCAGCCTCTGTAGGCTGGATGCTGTAGCACCCTCCTCCCACTCGGCACCACCCACCATGTCTTGAGCCATTGCCTAATGTTCTTTTTAGGGGTCAGGACCACCTGCGGCTGAGAACCAACACCCTGCCCTATCTAAGATTGTCAGGTGGATCTTGCTGCTGTTGCTCTCACATGTTCTTCTAACTTGAAAGAAATGCATCTTCTATTTCTGTTAGCTTCTGCCAGATGTCACTTATCTTTTCATGTCCTGCTTTTTTTTTTTTTTGTATTTTAGGGAAGGGTCTGCAGGGTACTCAGGGTCTCACTACTAGATTGGACTCGTCGTGATTCTCCTGTTTACAGCCTCCCAAGAGCCCGGATTACTCGATGGCAGTCTCAGCACGCCCCAGGGGCGAGGCTGGCACTTCAGGCCCAGGGATGAGCCCCGGGCCCCTGAGCCTGCGAGCTTTAATCCGCTGAGATATTTGGCCGGCCCTTCTCCTGTCCTGCTTAATGATGATAATGGTGGCCATGTTCGTGTGGGGCTGTGGAGGACTGTTTTTGTTCTTTCTCTGTCTTCTGTTACGTGTGTACTGTACGTGATGATCACATACGTCAGTGGGAGTTTGTTCCGGTACATGACATATCTTCATTCTTCCTTGTCTCATTCCCTACCCCATTTACAAAAGCTTTGTTTCCACTTTTCCCTTCCATTCTTTCTTAAAAACACCCTTTCCTTGCCCCTCCTTCCCTCTCCTTCCTTATTCCCCTTCCCTTTTGAGCAGGTTCTCCATGCTTCCCTACCTGGCCTCCAGCTTGCTCCCCATTTACCATTTGTGTTCCTCACACAAAAGAAACGATGCACTGTGTAAGCTTGTATGCCTGATTTATTGTATTTCACTTAAATTTATGGTTTTGAGATGCATCCGTAGTATTCAAGTGCCTGAAGTTTATCGTTTGTGGCAGCATATTACTCCATTGTATAAAAACCACATATTGTCCTTATCCATTCATCTTTTGATGAGCATATGGGCTGTTTCCAAGTTAGTGATTATAAGTTGTGCTGCTAGAAGTATGGGTGTGCATGCATCCCTGTGGTATGCCGCTTCTAACTCTTAGGAAGATACTTAGAAGAGGAATAACTGGATCAAAAGGAACCTCTAATTTTAATTTTTTGAGGGATCTCCACACTTATTTCCACAGTGGTTGCACCAGCCTACACTCCCACCAACAGTGGAAAAGTTCCTTTTTCCTCACAGCCCCTCCAGCATTTGTTATTGGTAGATTTTTAAATTTTTTTTTTTTATCTTTTTGAGACAGGGTCTCACTATACAGTTTAGGCTAGTCTTGAGCTCACTGTGTAGCCCAGGCTGGTCTTGAGCTTGCAGTGCACGATGTTCCCGTGTACTGGGATTGCAGCTGTGCACCACCCCGCGTGCTTGATGATAGCCGTTCTTTCAAGGGTGAGATGGAATCTCAGTTTTGTTTTAATTTGCATTTCTTCTCAACCAGTGATATTGAACATTTTTTCACATATTTATTTGCTGTTCATATTTCTTCATCTGAGAAGTCTCTTTCAGATGCCTCTTTTTTAACTGAATCTTTAAATTTGGGGGTCTGATTTTTTTTTTTTTTTTGAGTTCATTATATATTCTGAGTGTTAGTTCTTTGTCTAAGGAGTAGCTGGTAATTTTTTTTCTCCCATTCTCTGGGTTGTCTCCAATAGTTGGCAGTTTCTTTTGCTGTACAAAAGCTTTTCAGTATGATGAGATCCAACTTGTTGATTCTTTGTAATATTTCTTGTGCAGTCAGCATTTTATTCATGAAGGCTTTCCCTGACTCTTAATGTCTTCAAGAGTTTTACCTATTCTGTCTTCCAGCAGATTTAGTGTTGGTTTTAATATTGAGATCTTTGATCCATTTTGAGTTTACTTTAGCGCATGGTGAGAGGTAGGGATCTAGGGTTAATCTTCAGCATGTGGTAAACCAGTTTTCCTAGGACTATTTAGGTCTTGTTTTTGAGGCACGGTCTCACTAAGTAGTCCAAGCTGGCCTTGAGCTCACTGCGTAACCAAGGCTGGCCTTCAGCTTGCAGTGAGCCTCCTGCTTCAACTTTCTGAGTGCTGGGATCATAGCTGTATACCACTCCCAGCGTAATTTATTAAAGAGTGAAGATGTTTCATTCCTTTGTTCAGGGTAAGGTAGCTGCCGGTGTTTAGTTGTTTCTGCGTCTTATACTCTGTGCCATTGATCCTTGGGTTAGCTTTTTGTTTTTGAGGGTTTTTCTTCAGTACTATGCTGGGATTTCTTTTCTTTCTTTTTCTTTTTTTTTGTTGTATTTTAGGGGAGGGTCCACAGGGTGTTCAGGGTCTCACTACTAGTTCAGACTCTAGCAGTCTGCCTATTTACATCCTCTTAAGAGATGGGATTACAGGGGCCAGGAAGATGGCTCAGTAGGATAAGCGCTTGACTGGCAAGTGCAAGGATCTGAGTTCAATCCCCAGTTCTACCAAAAAAAAAAAAAAGAGATGGGGTTATAGGTGTGCACCACCATGGCCAGTCTAAATTGCTGTCTCAGTGTGCCCCTGGGGGCAGGGCCTGCAGAGCAGGCCCAGGGATCAAACCTCTGGCCCCTGCACCTGCTTGTAGGTGTTTTAATCTGCTGAGCTATTTGGCTGACTCTCTTTCTTTTTTTTTTTTTTTTTAAATTTTTTTTTTTTTTTTTTGTGTGTGTGTGTGTGGCCAGCTCAGCCCACCAGGGGGCGGGGCGGGCTGGCTGGCATGTGGTGCTGGGGATCGAACCGTGGTCCCTGTGCTTTGTTTAGCTTAGCTTGTTCTAAGTAGGTGCTTTAGACCACTGCGCCATCTCACCAGCCCTCTTTCTTTTCTTTTTCATTTTGTCTTTTTTTTTTTTTTTTTTTTTTTGCAGAACCAGGGATTGAACTCAGACCCTTGCACTTGCCAGGGAAGCGCTTATTCCACTGAGCCATCTCCCCAGCTCCTTTCTTTTCTTTTGATACAGGGTCTCACTATGATCCTCCTTGTCTCATAGTGATCCTCCTGTCTCAGCCTCCCTAGTGCTGGGATTTCGGTGTGCGCCACCATGCATGGCACGCCTAAGGTTCTGGGATAGGCATGGCACGCAGTACCAGGGACTGAGCTCAGGACCTTGCGCTTGCCAAGCAGGCACTTCTGCTGCCGGGCTATCTTCCAAGCTCAGCCCCATTCTATGTTTATTACGGGAATTTTATAATATAACTTCAAATCAGGGTTTGTGATGCCCTGTCTTCCTCTTGTTGCCAAGAATAGCTAGAATAGTTTATGCTATTCTAGAATAGGTCTCTTGATTCTGTATGAATTTTATTTATTTTTTGTGGTCCTGGGGATTGAACCCAGGACCTTGTGCATGCAAAGCAAGAACTCTACCACTGAGCCACAAGCCCAGCTTCCCTATGAATTTTAGTATTGTTTTCTCTAGTTCTGTGAGGTAAGTTGTTGGTGTTTGATTAGAATTGCATGAAAAGTGTGTAACAGTTTGGAAGTATGGCCATTTTCACTGTATTGGGTCTGCCTATCCAAGAACAGGGGATGTATTTCCATTTTCTGATATCTACTTCAATCTCTTTTTGCAGAGTACGGTGGTACCGTGGCTCACAAACTTAATTTGTTCCGTAATTTGTTCTGGAAAGGGCAGCCACACTTGTGTTCATGTGGCGAAGATGCCTGTGGTTGTGCTTGTCACCTCAGCAAAGTTAGTAAACAAAAACAAAAGTTTGTCACTTTTGTTTGCAAACCAAATTGCTTGCAAACAAAAGCAATCATGGGCTGAGGTAACACTGGACTATAGTTTTCAATCCTTTCCTTTGTGAGATTAATTCCTAGGTATTTCATTTTGAGGCTACTGGGAAGGTGGTATTACCCTATCTTATCTCTTAATGTGTTTATTTTTGTGCATAGGAATGCTGTTGATTTTTGTTTTGTTTTTTTTTTTTTTT